AGTGTAACACAAATGCACTCTTCTTCAGAGGATTCAGTTTCCTCAACAGTATGAACTTTGCCCTTTTTCTTTGTTTTAACATGTCTAGTACCACGTGGTGCGCCTTGGTTGCATTTCTGAGCAAAGCGGTTTGCTTTACCACATGTTTTACACTCCTTTCCATAGGCTGGGCAATTTGCTCTACCTAATTTGTGCTCACGACCACAATACAGACACTCAATACGGTAATTCTGTGGTTTCCCTTTCTTCGCACATGAGGCATGCACTACAGTGTCAACAGCATTGGAATCATTTGACATAGCATTCAGATGGACTTTGAAGGGTTCACTGGCTCAACACAGGTCCAGACACTTTGACAGTGTCAGCTTAGGCTCCTGCTACAGCTGTTTTCTTGTAGCATTATCCGCGATTCAGCAAACAATGCGGTCACAAATAAGAACATCTGCTAATTCACCAAAATCGCATGTAGCCGCTAGCGTGCGTAGCTTAACATAGAAGTTGTCAAATGTTTCCCCTTGTTGTGAGCAGTTTTGAATTTGAATTTGTACCGCTCGTAAGTTACATTTGTTTTACCAACACAATATTTCTGCCACAAATCCAAGATCACTTTCAACGACTTCTTGTCATCTTCTCTCTCAAATGGCAATCCATTATGTATATCCAAGGCTTCAGGGCCTATGGCTGTAATAAAGTGGGCAATTTTTACCCTGTCTGGGCTTTTATCAAGGTTAGTTATGACCTCATAGCTATTCCAGAGGAAACAAAATTTCTCCCAATTTTTCTTCAGATTTCCTGTCAACTGCAAAGGCTTAGGGAGAGGAATGCGACTCATATGTGTGTCTTCGGATGGGTTTGGCATGCTTCAAGCGTTGTGTGTCCCAGCATACAATAGACACAATGAACACCACAAACTTAGGACTTAAGTGCAACTGCTTAAAACAAACTCGAGTCTAGCTTTACTGAATACTGTGTTCCTATTCAAAATTATAGAAGAATCTAATCATGGCTCTTAATACATGTACACACACATAGCCAACACCTCTTACTACTATTCACTGTGGTCTGAATGCAAACACACCGATTATGCCGATGCCGTCCATACAGTTCAGAGTCTGTTCAAATCCACAGTACATGTCATGAAATGTCCACTCTGTTCATCGCGTACGCGCACACACACACAGGCAACCACGTGGTTCGACGGCGTCGCTGACATGGCAACTGCGTGAGTTCATCCGTTGGAATTTCACTAAGGGAGAGCTCCAACTCGCATCAAAGAAAGATCCTCAGCATCTGACACCATGTTATGGGTTGTGGTGTTGCAGCTTAATAAAGGGGCTTCGGCTTTAAGAGGCAATTTGAGGATACATGAGCTACTGCTTTATTCCATGCTCGTCCACACTCGGCATACGGTTAGCAACAATGTGACCTCCCCAGCCCGGTCAATCACCCTGAAGGTCTTACCACGAGAGGGCGCTAGAGCATTATCATAACAATATTGAGAAAGCTTTTGACAGTGTACATATAAATCATGATTTTCTTTTGGAAGTGTTAAAACAGTTTAATTTTAGCAACAAATTTATCCAGTGGATTCAGTCTCTCTACTTTTGCAAAAAAACCTATGTTATTAATAATGGCTTTCTGACTTGGCCAATTTTGATGGAAAGAGGGATTCTGCAAGGTTGTCCAATTTCTCCCTATTTGTTTCTTCTGGTAATCGAAATTCTGGCTATTGCAATTAGACAGAATGACAATATTCATGGTATTCCTGTGGATAACCATGAACTAAAAGTTTCTTTATAAATTTATCAGATGATACCACTTGTTTTTTGGATGGCTCATAAGCTTCTTTTGATAATTTTTTTGATACCCTCAATCAATTTGCCACTTACTCTGGATGTAAAATTAATATTTCTAAATTCTGAAGCTATTTGGGTTGGTTCTAAAAGGGGTGCTGTAATCATCCCTTTCAAGAGATTGGTTTGGTGTGGAAGTCAACCCAATTTAGAACTCTGGGTATTAATTTCTCTTTGGACTTAAAATTGTTGTTTGATTTAAACTATAAAATTAAGTCAAAAAGCATTGAGCAGACTCTTAACAGTTTGAGATCTAGACATCTGTCATAAAATCTCTCCTTTTATCACAGTTGCTTTATCTCTTTTCTGGTGTATCAAAATACCTACCTCATTCTTTCAAGAATTGGAAAAAAATATTTTTAAAATTCATCTGGAATAATGGAAATGATAGAGTGAAATGGAAAATTATGTACACAGATTATTCTTTTGGGGTCTTCGTATTATAGATCCTTTCATTTTCTGTCAAGCTAAAAAAAAACAGCCTGGGTTAAGAAACTGCTAGATGATTCCTATGACAGTTCATGGAAAACTACAGAAATTGATTCTTTGTTTAACTTTCACCCTAATATAGACATTTTGTGGAAATCTAATCCTCCTGAGAATCTTTTCGGTAAAATAAAAAACTCTCAGGTTGCGGACTCTATTAGGACATGGACCTTTTTAGGGAAAAGGCTGTTATTGATATGGGTTTCGAATTAACTGATTTCTTCTTTTCGGAAATTTTGTGGTTTAATAGACATATTCGCTCTAAATCAAAGCTATACCTTTTTTTCCAGAGTGGTATGAAAAAGGTATAATTTGTGTTAAGAACTTGTTTAATGAACCTAAGCCTAATCTTCTTTTATTTGAAAAGTTCATAATTGAGCATGATATTTCCTTTAAAAGACGGAAGTATAACACTTTGCTCAATTGTATTCCTCATGATTTTTTTTTTTTATAAGCAACTGAAGGGTGATGATTTAGTGACTGTGTTAAAAAATAACCTCATGTTGAAGAAAGTGTCTTTGTATACTTACAATATAAGGATTGATAAACCCACCCCATAAAAACAAAAGAATTTTTGGAATAGTACTTTAAATACAAACTTGGAAGATGAACATTTTGAGGTGATTCATACACGTAACTTTAAATGTACAATTGAATCCAGATTAAGAGCTTTATATTTTAAGATGTTTCATGGGGTTATTGCCTTCAATAACTTTCTTTTTAAAATTGGAAGAAAGGTTTCTCCTAACTGTGCTTTTTGTGATTGATGTCCCAAAACTTTGTTTCATATTTTTTATGAGTTTGATCATGTTTCACCCATCTTGTCAGACCTCATGTTTTTTATCAACCAAAGTCTCACTGACCCAATTTAGTTTGGGAAAATTGAATTCTTTTTTTGAGTTCCCCATAACAAGTTTTTGACTTCATGTTTGTTTTTTTTACTAAATTTATATTATAGTTGTAAATTCCAGAGTCAAATGCGTTCCTTTCTAGGGTTAAGACTATTTTCACAAAATCAATATCATATAGAATATAAGATTGCTATTAAAAATCAAACTCTTAGTCTTCATTATAACAAATGGAAATTTCAATTCTAATTCTGTAAACCCTAGCAATTATTTCAAATGGAGATGTACAGTGACCATCTTTCTACATCTCTTCATGGCCCCAACTTTTTTCTGAAGTTTTTTCTTTTATACTTTCCCTTTATCTCCTGTTTCTTCAATCTCCTTAATTCTGTATAATTCATGTTTTTTCTTTCTAATATATGTTTTGCATTTTTATGATCAATAAAACATAGAAAGAGAAAAAACATTTAGCTCCACTGAGTCCGCCATGCACCACTGTTGGTCATCCTTCAAATCTAAAACGCAAGACTGTTTGCTCATACTTATAAGACTAATTAAAATAGAACTTATGTGTTTTATAAATTGCTGGTCAATTTTGTCTCTTTGACAGAACAAGAGATATGTATTTGTGCATGTAGTTTTTATAAAGTTCTGCTCTATTTTACAAGTAAACAACTGGGTACTGAATATTAGTTCATGTACATGTATACACATGTATGAGGTATATTCTACCTTATACTACATGTACATGTAGCTTTCTACTTTAGAATAGGAATCAGGAAGCATACCAAAACTATCAGGGTTTGATGATATTTGGTTGTGACTGCTTGCTGGTCATTGGTGCACTTTAGTAGTTGTCCCTCAAAACAGGTTTCTGGTGATATCATACTAAAATGTTTTGTGTGGCAACAGCCCAAAATCACAACCCACGTTCTACGGCAAAAACTGTTGATCTTTGCTATTAATTGCTATAACATTGTTTTGCATCTGTATTGAATCTGATTACATCTGTAACCAATTGCTAAATAATCCAGTGTGCCCTTCTGTTCCAATTTTTGACACTTTGTTTGAGTTATCCCTCTTGCTGTGGAACTGAGCAGCCAAAGGCAGCTTGTTAAGATTAAAATGAGAGCTAAGAAGTTAAGAGGGTGTTTTGTTGAGGGCATTTTAAGCATAATATCTTTATCAGTTTATCTCCATCAGTCTTTAAGCTGAAATTCATGGGGCATACATGCAGCTGTTTGCTGGATTATGTGTCTGTGTGTTATATTCCCCTGTAAATGAAAAACAGTCACAACCTTTCGATAACATACCTAACCCAAATATATCCCTGTTTTTAAGGACTGAAATTTCACTTTTACATGTTTTTGCATACATATTTATTATAGTGAGAACCTCATGTTGAGGTATTAATTGTAAATTATGATTAATACCTCAACACATTGTAACAAATGATTTATAAGCATAGTACTTGTACATGAAGTTCTGTTCCCTGCAACAGTCTTATGTTTTCTTGCCACTCATGTGTACGTGTATGAATTCCGACTTCATACAGCATCATTTAATTATAAAACTTTTTTTGGGTACATTTTAAAATCGATTTGTAACATTATGGTTTTTACCACTCAAATTTTTATTTTAGAGAAGGGCATGTTGGTACTGAGCTGACAAATTATTGGTTGAGGTTTGTTTGAGATTTTTCAGGCATTAACTGTAGTTGAAGAGATTTGAATTTCCAATTTGTTCATGTCATTTGTGCATGTCCATTTTTTCTAATTTCAAAGTGTATCTCTGTGCTTTTGCTTTGAATAAGACACAGTTGCTCAGAGTAAGCAGACGGACTTCAGCCAGTGGTTTACATGGTGTCAGTCTTGTCGTCATGGAGGTCATGCTTGCCATCTTACAGAATGGTTCAAGTAAGTTCCTGCTAGTTCAAATAAGTTATTTATTCCATTTTTCAAACCACTTATCACGTGCAGGCACACACGGAGTTTCTATGTGGTAACACGGAGGATGTTGCCCTCTTAAAGGGGGATTTTGGTGCCATATTTGTGTTAATGCTAATAATTTTACATTCATTAGCTATAGTGTGGTGTCATTCTGGGCAGGAAACCTCATAATTACAATGATATGTACACAAAAACCTGCTGGAGTTATTAATACTCGGCTGTCTTACATTCCTGGTCTTGGGTGATTCACGATTCTTTATGTACATGGCAATAAGCCAGAGAGCGACAAGTTCTCTGAAATGTTGGGTTCAAATTTGGACATGAAAACATGCAAACTGAACAGTGTCTTCATAGCAAAAGCAACACCCCTGTTGTTGGGAAATGTACGGACAATTTTGAATTGGTTGGTTGAAAGGTTGGTTGTTGAATACTTTTCCTGTATTGGAGAGGATGTACAAGTTCAAGAGGGTGTAAAAAAGCATCACATGGACCCTTTACACTGAGTATTTTTGTGATTTGTGTGCTGCATGGTTCTGAAGAGATGACATTTTGTTTTGTCGTCAGTTCTTAACTATAGTAGTAAGTGCTAACGACTGCAAGATTTTGAAATCATTTTAACCACATGTAAGTGCATGTGTGATGGAGTATGTGAACAAGTTTCATACACATGGCAAAACAGAAGCCACAGAACACCATTTTTTTCCAACTATACTGACAATGCATACTTTCTGCCATCTTGAGATCCTTGTGATTGCTGGGATGATTTTTTTTTGGTGGAAGAGTCACGGATGTGTATAATAAAATCTGGACTAGCAATGCCCTTAATCCTGGGATTCCTGGCAATGCCCGCCTCTGTTCTTCCTTATGTCAATAGAAGGGAGCCAACCCATGCATTTGTATTCGGCTTGGTAAAATGGCCGCTGGTTGGCTTCTTCATACAAAGGCGTTGCAAGTCCATTTTTTTTATGCATCCGTGGGAAGAGTATACATGTACATGTAATCACAGTGGGAGTATACTCTTACTGACCCACAGGTCTATCTTTCTTGAAGGTAGCCTCTAATGCATGATATGCTCTTTGAAACTTTTCTTCGTCCTGTTGTTGCTTTGAAGCACGGGGTGGATAACAAGGATGCATGGACGTGAATAAAAAGGAAGAGTTCAAAATAGGGTGGATATGTAGAGGGGATGCAGCTAAAAGTTAGCATTCCTTAAAGCAGTAATGAATTGCTAAATTTTGTGACTCTGATGAAGTCATTCTCAGGAAATGAGGACTTTGGACACTATCTAATAACACAAAGACAGATAACGAGATTTGCAAATTTTTGCTGAAAGGAAAGCCAATGGACCTGCCTCATGTAAAAATAGATCAAAGGTCATGACTCCGGCAGGGAAACACAGCCAAGACACCGATAGTAAAATTGCACCAACAATGATCCCAAAACACCTCAGGAAGGATTACAGTTCGGATTTTGAGAACAGTGAGGGCAATGGTAGTGGTGATGCTGACAACTCCAGTTCCTTTACCACCTTTCAACTCAGCTCATAGGAACAGACATCTCCTCCATCTCTGGGTCTGACAAAGAGGCAACCCTAAATAAAGCACTTGCAATACGACAGGAGTTCCTGAGCCAGAAGGACCACCTGTTCAAAAGAACAAAAGCTAAAATATTGAACCAAGGACTTTTCAAGTTTTCTGCTTTCAACCTACCCCAAACAGTTCCTAAATATGCAAATTCCTTTGCACCTGATTCAATTCACTGTAACTTCTGATCAACCGTAGTGCGGCCTCTAGTTCCATGATGCGTAGCGGAATGGCCCTAATGTTTGTACTTCTTTTCCTTCGCGTGATTCTTAACGGACATGTCTTTTGTTACCTCTTCGAGTTTATCGAGTTTCCGTTTTTGCTTCCACACCTTTTTGATACTTTGATCAAACCATAACGTATTGTTAAACATGTACATAAAAAATTTTGAGTTAATGTGTGTACAGTATTTTTTTGTTTTGGTGGTATTTTTTCTTCTCATGTCTGTGAATTCTATAGATTGTTGACTCCACGCTATTATACTACCAAGTGATACATAGGGTCAACAGGGTGACCCTGGGATTGTTGGGGGTTCCACGAGGCGGTGCTAGTGATCCAATTCTTCGGTCCCCCTCTTTCCTTGGTATATATAGGGTCAATGGGGCAACCCTGGGTTTGTTGGGGTTCACGAGGAAGTGCGAGCATTCCGAATTCCGCAAACCCACATTCCCCAACCGGAGTCGGACTGCGGAGGATCAAGTAGCATTTTGCTAAACTTTTGATTCCGCTGCTTATCCCTGCTGGCAATACCATCTTTGGTTCAGTTCAGGGTTAGCCCATGCCACACTTCAAGGGTCTGAGCTGCAGTGCGTGCGATATCTACACGTTCAGTTCCCCAACGCAGCACCGAAGCTTCACAGTCAATAATAGTGCGGAGTGGCACTGCACTCAGGGTCAAAATTTCTCCCGCTAGTCTGGGCGCAACACTTCTCAAGCATCACAGTTCCCAAGCATTCTGAACGGGTGACGCTGGCCATCAACAAGCTCTTGTCAACACCTACCATGGGCAACACCCAACATCGGCATGGCCCATAAGACCACGCGTCGGAGCTGCCCCACACCACCAGCACTATCTACACCGACCAAGTTGCCCCTTGTGCCATTGTCTTCAGATGCTCTTTCAGCAGGGGGCACCCAGCTGTGACAAAGATGCTGACTCTCCACGGGACAATGCAATGCTGCTCTCTGGAGCGGTCCCTGCAGAGACAATACTGGGCCATGCAGGCACACCACCACTCATGCCAGGGACAACAGAGCCCACCAGCTTCCTGTGCCATCAGGGCTTTTGATCTCTCTTCGTCACCCCGTCTTCCAGCTACCCTCTGGGCCTTTCTGGGAAGACTGCTTCTACCTCTGCAGTTCTCGTTGGCAAGTCCGCAACTGAGGTTACCACTTCCACCCACCTCGTTTACGACCTCTCCACAAGTCTGGGGTTCCTCATAAACAACAAGTCATGACCTTCCACTCAACGTCCTAGGAGTCATCTCAAATCTTGTCCAGGACAAGTTGCCGTAAAATTGTGGGGAGAATGCATACTTTCCTGACAATTTCCCTGCAAGTAGCAGCGCTTTTATTGAGGGGAAGGTGTGGAGGAATTTTGCATTAGTACATGTAAGTCAGTTACTGTGAAGGACTGTTTACATTACCAGTGAGCTTATAATAAGTGGTCAGTGTTTTAAGTGGTTTGCGGTTTTCAGAGACTGACATTGGATCACTCAACACACTATGACTTTCTCTTTGGTCATGTGTTCAGAGTTGACGACTCAATCAAATAGTTGTTTGGAAAAAATGCAGACTTTGTCAGTCGCACTGCTTATATACAAGTATGCTTTGTTTCATTCACTTGTTAAATGTACAAGTTGTGTTACCTCTTCCCATTGTTATACTTCCATGTCCAATTCAGTTCTAAATTTAAAACTGGAAGTATTCACTTTGATATTTTTGAAAGGTTCCCTTTCCAGAATTGTCTGATCATGATTGTCATAACAGATTTTTAGAATTTCACATCAAAATATAAAAAAATGCAAAGCAACAGTATGCTTAACTTTCCGTATATTATGCCATATTTTTTGTTAATAATAAAGATATTGCAGCAAGATTGTTTGAGATACAGGGCCTGTACAGGATCTCTTCTTGTTAATGTCCTTTTGTGCCATAACATTATCAGATTAAGTACAAATAAAATTGTATTTGCCTGAAGTAAGACCATCCCCAGCAGGAGAAAAACCTAAAGAAGTTTTGTATTTTATGAAAGGGTCAACGTATATTTATTCCAACTGATAGTAAGAGAAGTTTCCAAAAGCTTTGTGTAAGGAGTGCAGTCCTTTGCCAGTGGCTCTTCTGTCATCAAAACCACAGGTGTCCTTGAATGGCCTGCCTGACCAAAACCACAGAGTGGGGGTATGTATATAAATACTGATAACTTCATTCCAGGAAGATTGTGGGGAAATTTCCAGTAGCCTTCAACATTTCACTGCAACACTTTTCTACAGCTTATCCTCAACTTTTCCTGGACGAAATTTGAGATGACTCCCTACCTTGGGACAATTTTCAACCTCCGGTGGGGCATCGCAACACCACATACAAATCATGTCACCAACTTGGTTACCTGCATCCGCCTCTTCCTCCCTCACCACTGTGCCCCAGCTTGGGCTTAACTCCACCTCCTGGTTCCCTTCTGCCATCTCTACATGTGTCCAATTCAACTTCATCTGCTGGCACTCTTCCACCCCAGTCAAAGGCCTCTCCTTTCCGAGACTTGCTCTGCAACTCACCATCACGACCAGCACTTCCTAGTGGTGATAGGGTGCATTTCTGCCTTAACCTACATGCATCGGGGACTTGGGGTCTGCCCCTTCTAGGGAGTCACATCAACATCCTGGAACTCCAAGCAGTGTTCAACGCCCTTTGCTACTTCCGTCTGACCATCAAGAACAAAGGGCCGGCAACCATTTAGACCTGGTTTGAAAAGAGCCTCCCAGTAGCCCGCCCTGTATAATGCCTGCCCGGTATTCAGGCTACTCCAGGCCAGTATCAGGCCTCTCTGCACGTTGGCATTTCAAAGTCCCCAACGGAAGGCTTCCCCAGCCATGCTTCCACAGATAAAGAGGGGTCTAAGCGGATTAGTGTAAACATTGTATAGCGCTGAAGGATTAAAAACCACAAACAGGTTCCTTCTGGGATAGATTACATGTACCAGTACTTGCAAGCAAAAGACCCCAGGATGGAGAAGCTCGAGATCAACAACCAGTCCAGTATCCCAGGCCAGTATGAAAAGGGTTTTTGCAACAGGGCAGGCTTACCGGGGGGGCCCTTTTCAAACTGGGTCTAAATGGGCGCCGGCCCTAACGTGTCCTCATTTAATCCAATTTTCATTGCACCCTTCTGGTCTAGCCAGCCCTGGTTCCCTTGTCTCTTAGCTGGTCAAAATACTAGTGAGATTTGTTGCGAAATGAAGGACTACCAGATGTTGAAGGTTGAAACTTATTTTTCGTGGCATACATGTGGGAGTGCACTCTTGTTCACGTGCAGTGTGGCAACAGACAATTCCTAGATTAACGTCAGTGTAGGAATCAGTACCCAGACCGAAATCTTGAGCTGAATCGCGGGCTACATGTACCTTGTAATGCATGCACTAGAAAAGACAGTGTGTGGGCTTGTTTATTGCAGAGCCTACAGTTTCCAGTGTGTCGAAAGAAAAGAGATAAACACATAAAGGATTCTTCTCGTGAAAGTGAGTGGATTCAGTTCCTATGAAAGTAACCATTTGCTCGCTGATGAATGACAAAGGCACGCAACCTGGTAGTGTTGCAGGGCTGCAGTGGCGGTCCCAAAAACAAACCCGGCAGTGTTCCAGCAACACAGCACCATACACCGGCAGATGCAACACAACACAAGCAGTCAGCGAGGCTTATGCGTCGCTTTTCTCAGTTCAGGGTGCTTTTGCAGACACTGGATATTTGTCAAAGCAGTCCTCGAAGTTCGCAGCATATTGTTTTTATCTGCGATAATTAGGAATATTTAAAATCTAACTGTAATGCGCTGTCCAGAGAATCGATTCAACACCGTATTGCATGCACAGAAACATCAAGATGAAGTCTCAGTGTACGAGATTCCTGTCCAAAACTACAAACTGCACAAGACCGAGGTATTTTTTATTTTACGACAAAAACACATAAAATCATGCACTTAAACTTGATGGACAAGAACCGCGCAAGAACATTGCATTTTGAGCATGCCTCTACTACGAGACTTGTGTGAAAGATGTATACACCAGTCCTTCATTTCTAGAAAATCCAGGAGAGCTCTCCTGAAATCAGTCAGGACAGCAAATCGCTCTCCTTAAAATAAGCCTAATGTTTAAGTACAAAAACAGGGTATATTCAGTTCACTATCCATTTTGATAACATCTGTTGTCATGGTTCATTTTAATCAGTTCTAGTTTGTCAGAAATATTATATTCAGTTTCGCTCAAACAGAAATGCTTATCACACTAGTGTTTTTTTTTTCAGAAAAAAAAATCCCTGTCAAAATAAAGTCTCACGTCTGACAATTTTTTTTTATTTTCAGTAATACAACTTACAAGTGCAACAAATTATCTTTAATGGCAATAAATAGAACAGAATTCGTTACTGAAGCCTGATGCCTCCACAGTTTTTGCAAAATGACTGGCGCAAACTTGAAGAGATTCAATTTCACGTTCTGGTGCATCACTTCTCCAGTTAGCTGAATTCACCCAAAACAAAAAATGAGCATCATGCACTTGAGCCAATACATATCCGTCGTGGTTATCATGAGAGTGTTGCACACGAATATTGTCCGACACGTTGAGAGAATCTCCTGCGCGAAATCGCCTCATGGAGCCCCATAGTCGTAGTGTACGCACGCTATCACCACTCAACGTAACGTTTTCGTGTAGACTGAAATCTTAAGGCACACCGGTTGTGCACTGAGCACCCTGTTGTAGATCGGAAAACTTGCTTCTGGCCAATAAAAACTCTCCAGCTGACTGGGGTCAGGTTAGCTTTGTTGTGGGTATTTCAAACTCGGAAGAAAAAGCTTCAAAATGTAAATTTTACAGCGAACCACACGGTCCATGGTTTTGAAGATTATTTCCACTGTTTGCTGTAATATTGTTCAAAAATTGAAATGTCCTCTTCAATTTTTCAAGGAGCGCGGTAAGAGCACCTGCGCGATCATGCTCCTCAAAACTGAAGGACTAATACACATTGTTTACAACCGTATCTCCCCCATGAGGTTTTGGGGTCATTGGCGCACACAATGAGTGTTTCTAAAATCAGCGAAAAAATGACTTGCAGAAGCCCATTTTTTTGACATTTTTCAGCAATAAGTGGGAAAAGTGTTATATTTTTTATTTTGAAAGATGGTCTTGTCACCTCTTGCTTAAAGGTTATAATTGGGGAAGCAAGGTTTTCTTTGCCCTGCCTCTTTAACCACTCAGTGCCAGGGCTCCCGGTACCAGAGACGTTGGCCATATATTTCATGGCCAGGGTGCCTGAAATCTGAACTGAGGAACTGGGCCCTGTATCAAAAGACCAAACACGTAATAAAAGACCAAGCTGCTGGGACTTGCCAGTCAAGGTTCATATGCTGTCAGCACAGAGTGCTGGCATTAGCCGAGGTACATGTAATCTGTCCATTTTTTGAAACAGTACTATTGTTTGCTGCTGCCAGCACCTGCAGATTATCAGTGGACACAAAAGTGCTCCAGCACACTGGGGATGAGCAATACAATACCGCTGTACGCTCATGGAATCTGGCTGCATTTATAGTAAAGACAGTGCCACCATCCAGCAATGCACTGGGCCAATTTGCAGAACAAAGGAAAGTACACAACACTGCACAATGGGGGCTCTTTACTGGATGACAGGCGTGGCTGCAATACATGTCAGTGGAGGTCGCCTGTCAGCAGTTTCGACTAGCCACCAGTCATTTATTTGGCTGTATGTGGCCGGTAAATGACGATAGGAAGTTTTCGAAGAATTTTTAGAACAGAAAATCATGAAAAACAGCTGGCAATGCGTCCTCCATGTGTGAACTCCAACCAGCAGGAAGTGGTTAAGCCTTACCGGCCCGCATGAAGAGACACTATAGCCAGATGGGCCATCTCTGCCATCAAATTTACTAACACTGAACAGCCATCCCCATCTAATGATACCCCCCCTCGCCACATCCAGGCGCATGACATCAGAGCAGTCTCTACCTCATGGGCCTATATGTATTTCGGAGGCGTTCCCTAGGACATTATTTGCAAGGCAGCATGCTGGAAGTCACCCTCTACCTTCACCTCATGCTACCTGACTGATGCCTGCAGACAGACAGTATCCACGGCAAGACGGTTCTGGCATCCTCCACATCGGGACTGACGGGCCTCCGCTAAAGATGGATGATGTACCCCATCCTTCCTTCCAATTTATGAATAAACTTGACATTTTGCCCTGGCCATTAATGGCCGATTGTAAAAATGCCTAATCAAACATGTGTCAATGTGTATTTTTTAGGCACTTTTCATAATTTACTGTAACTATAATTCATGATTTACTGTAATATAGAAATACAGGGGAGTACATGCCCTTCCACCCTTCTCACAACTAACAATGCAGTACAGATGATAGTATGGGAAAAATTCATATATCTGTCACTACCTCCAGATGTGACTTGCGTGTAACTGTTTCCCCACTAACATTTGATTGGCAGGGACAGGTGGCATTTTATTAGCTCATTAACATTGTAATCAAACTTTGCCTTCAGGTAAGTCCCATTTAATTTTTCAATTGTGTGTTAAGCTTGGTTCTGGGATAGGTTTGTGCAAAACCACAAGGCTGGAGTCCATGATGTACATGTAGAATACTTGTGAGTGGTGGGTAGCCATGATTTAACAGTAGTGTCAAGCGCACAAATACATGTATTGGGATAGTACATTTGTGTCACACTTTGCTGCAATTGTACTTTCGTAGTTAAGGGACTTGAGTATTATCCTTAGAAGACTTGAATCTAGTAATTTACTTGTAATGATTAAAGTGAGGTACATTTTAGGGCTTGGGTCAACATGCCAAAAATTGGTCACTGACATTGGACTTGAGTCAGTGACTAATTGTAATTCTGGGATATAGTGACATCTCTCCTTTAGTTATTCTTAATAACCACTTCCTGCCAGGTGACCCGTTTTCAAGAACCTAGGCTTTATACATGAAGCCTGGGAGCCTGAAACCGGGACAAAAGAATTGGGCCATGTAATAAAAGACCGTGCTCGGCACAAAAGACTGAGCTGCTGGGCATTACCAACATTTCTTCACTCTCAATAGTGGAGATAATCCAGCCTTGTTTTGAAACAGTATACCAGGGTTTGGGGTATTTAGAGCGAGCGGATTACCACCGGGGACAAAAGCGCTCCACCACCACAGCGAGAGCCACACAGCACCGCTGCAGGCTAATCTGGCCCCTGTTGAAAAGAGGTCAGCGGAGCACTGTTCCGGTTTGGGAAACAAAAGAATCTTACATAACATGGCACAATCTGGGCTCTTGACAAGGCTGCAGGCCTGCCTGAAATATTCAGGAGTCAATGAAGGCCACCTGTCAGCTTAGAGTAGCCACCAAAGCATATAATGCACGATATACAGCACAGGGGGACCCCCCTCTATTGTGACTTCTTTTGTGTTGATGGAATCTTTGGAATTCCTTTCAGATTTCTGAACAAAACTGTTCAATTTAAGTTTGGCATTGAGTGCAACTCAAGAGATTAACTGCAAGGCGTTTAATCTTGCCCTTAAGCAGCACCATCTACCGGTATGTGTACCATAGTTTTGCATACAACCTGTAGATCTTGAATACCCCCTTACCAGTGTCAAATGTCAGCAAGTGTCAAGAGAATTTTTCTCCAGCGTGGTCTCTCATAGCAAGTTTGTGGCCAACAGCCCCATCAATATAAAGTATGTATTTCTGTGTACTGCAACTAATAAATAACTTTTGTGGAGTTTTGCCATTTACGAATGTGATAATTTTGTTTTGTTACAGAGAGCATACAGAGTGTCCAGTAACAGGCTGCACATGTCGATGTATGTTGATGGATTCCGCAGGCACAATTTTCTCTGCAACAGCAAGCACTACATAAAAACAGCTTCACAATACATGTACAGTACATCCCACCTTATAACCTCAACCTGAAACAAAGGGTTAATTTGACCAAGTTGCTTACATGTAATACAATTGTGTTTCTCATAAAGTCGGACCAAAAATGCTTTCAAAAGATACCATGATGGCTTCCTTCAGTCATGCTTCACCGAGCACTATTGTTTGAACAATTGTCAAAACTCATTTGTGCTATTTCAAGGCATTCTGATTACATTCAAATGGGGCTTGATAGAATTTTAATGTTTTTAATGTTTAATGTCAACATTCATTTGTGTGAAGTGTATAAAGGTTTGCTTATTGTCATGATTGTCTTGCTTGGTCTGGAAAACACTGTTTCTGATAGTCTGCTGAGGACACATTATGTAATAGATATTTATTTTGGGGGCAGTAAGCTGGTGCAGGGGTAAAACCTATTCACAGTTGACACCACTTAGCCACATGTTTAACAACAGTTAGCGACATGGTTCAGCTTCATCCAAAGAGTGTTATTCGTAACTAAATATGTCTATCATCTTCTTGTATTTCAAAAGGTTAAATTTTCCTTTAGCCTTGTTGGATGTGATCTTAATGTTTTGCAATTGACCCAAAGTGTCACAGATGAATTTTGAAATTACATCTTTATACATGTACATGTAACAACGATGCCTACTGAAACATGACTGCAGGAATTACTATCAGAACAATGTATCATTTGAAAGCATTTTACTCCCACCATACAGCAAACACATACAGTCACACAGCTCACAACTTGGCCAGATTAACCCTTTATTTTGGGACTCATTTTTTTCTGCAAGCAGGTAGCAAGACAATGAGTGCTTACCCGGTTTATTCCACATTTTCCAAAAAGATATTGTAGGGTACAAAACATCTATGTGTACCGTAAAACCTGCAAATGATTGGTATACATTGTATTTTGTGTGCTGATATCAACATCTGCATTCTAGCAGCCTGAAGGGTGAAATTGGGTTGGAAATGAGAAATCTCTTACAATTTACCTTCCGTTCTGATTTGAGGCATGCTGTCACACCCTACACCATTGCATGCCCAAAACCTATATTGGATAATCATACTTCACGGAAACTTCAGAAATGACAAAAATCAAATGTGCTTACTATTAATTCTCCCAGTGATATAGCCTTTGCTGGCAAAACATACCATGCAAATGCAAATATAGTAACTTATAGGTTTGCTTTAATTATGTTTTTATAGTAGCACTAGCAAAGGCAAATCCAGAGAAAAATGTGCAGCATGTGTCAGTACCACCTTGGGTCACAAATTTGAAAGAAGAGAAAATCGCATCCCTTGAAGAATCCAGTGGTGCGCTTTTCCACATGCCTGATTTCAGAATCGGGACTGTTTGTTCTGAAAGTGGATGTAACACCCTGCACAATGCCTCATGTGACCACAATAAATGTCTACATTTGCCCTCTGAACCAGGGAGATCAGGCAAGTTTAGTTCAGGATTGCAGTTACATGTACACGTAAGCTTTGTTTTAGACTCATCAGAGTACGGTATCAGATGGATGTAAATGAATTGCTTCTTTAAACATGGAAAATTTCCAAGATACACAGTATATCAGTTTTTAGATTTTGTTATTTTGATTCTTCAGATCACTCAAATTGAATGATTTGCATTGTAATACTTCATTCAAATACATGTATACACGCAACACAGAAAACAGTGCTTCAGAAAGATGTAAGATACTGGGTTATATGTCTAGTATTTGCATTAGTCTTGGGCAATTTGAATCATTGTTACAAACTGCTATTATTCTACGCTGTACAACATGAGAAATGTGGCCTTCTGGCATAATTGAAGTTCGCCTGTTTTCAAAAAGTAAATATTCATTTTACTCGAATGACGGAAAAAACACGCACACAAACCAGAATATTCATCAGTTTTACTTTTGTATTAATGTATCATTTCAGCTTGCTTTGTCTTCACTTTTGCTTATCTTTAAAGTTTTAAACTTAAAATCTGACAAATGGTGAAGCTATTGAGACATTCAACATAGGGTTTATACATGTAAAATCATGTGTGACTTATGAGGTTAGTCCCAGTTTCTTCTCAAATTATTATGCACACTGCGGAATTTAATCTGCTATATTTATAGTGATGATTTTGTTCCATAATTTAAAATAATAACCTTGAAAACTAATTGACATTGCTGACAGATAACTTCTTCAAATCAAAGTTTGGCTTTTTCCTTAGTTTATGGCAGTGCATTTTTATCTCAAACTCATTGGGGCTTGATAGAAAGGTCCATCAATTAAAAAATGAAACATATTTCTTGGTTATGTGTTAACCACTTAACACCGGGTAAAAAAATTTCCTTGAATTACAAGCTGCCGGGCAGTGTTTTATGATTTTGACGTTCGTATTCATCATACTTCTATAGGGAAAATTCACCCAAGAAATGCATGTAATGAGTCAGAAGGCAATGAAGCGTGGCCAAGCGCTTTCAAAAAACACCATTGTTATGTTATGGCTTCTTTGTTCTCCCTCCACCCAGCCTGCCTGGAACGACAAACAATGGTCGGCTAGGCTGGTCTGGAGCTCTGCAGTACTTCATGCCATTGTACTTCACAATAGGAGGATTACAGCCTATGGTGATTCATAGCAGTCATTCTGGTCCCCACATGAGGCCGCCTGGCTATGTGGATCAGAAGAATGTGGCCTATGTGGGGTCAACCGGCACCAAGTGGTTAAATCATGGTTAAAAAGTTATCCACAAATTTGGCCACTTTAAAATTTTTCTGTTTTACTGAACATATGTAATACATTAACCAGTATATACACCGGTGTATTGATACCAGTATGAAAACACGCCAAATAAAATAAGTTCCCATGTCACTTGTGTTTTCTTATTTTGAGAAATGTTTTGCACATATATACATTTATGAGTGTAATTTTGTTCAACTTGCAATAAAATGGAGACAAACTACAAAGAGTTTGAAAGTTGGTAAGGTATTGTTTCACTGAGATCTAATTCCATCAAGAGTTTTGTCAGTCAAAGAATGCCATGTACGATCAACAGTGAGTATTTGGAATGCCAGCTGCATGGATCGTGACGTGTACATAACAAGTATTGCCTGCTGTGTAGGAGTCCATGTCTTATTTGCCCGATGGTGTACAAAACTCATGCAAGCCTTAAAATTAACGTTTGTCCACTTACTGGCGGTAAGTGAATTTAAAAACGGGTAAGTTACTGGGTACATGTAGGTGTGAATTAAAGCCAAGATGGAGTTTGAGTGAAATGAATGATGAATAAGCCTATGAATAAATCACTTTTGAACAAAAAAACTTGTTTAATGTTTCTATTTTCACTTGTCTTCTTTAACTTATTTACTCCAGGTTTTATGGACATCTGGGTTGGTATCCTGCAATCTCAAGTATTTTTTACAAAGTAGCGTCGCACACAATCATGACTCCATAGCCTTCGTTTGTAAACCCTCAATGAGAGGTAGAGCGCATAGGAACAAGGTTGGATCACATACATGTACATTGTACAGCATGTCCAGTACCAGATGCATGTGATACTAGTCTATTTAGCCATGTCCATGAAAATAATGTACATGTATATCATTCCGCTGGTTCCATGCAGCTTTCCTTTCCTGGTATCTTGTCACAAACTCTATAGTGCTAGGGAAAGATCATGGCGCAATGTGGTAGCACCTCAGGCAGTACCGTCATAAATCTCGGTTGTACATTGAGAGGCTTTGTGCTTGTCTTAGTACTATGGGTTGTATTTTTATACCTCTTGGAGGGTTCAGGGCTCTGGTGGTTAAGAAGTCTCAGAAGACGGAACTATTGTGACTAATTTTGACTAATCTGATGATGAACAAATAAGCCTTTTGCGAGTTAACTTTGACCCAAATGTAGTACACTGAGTTCTTTAACTTCACGTGAACATAACTTGAATTCTCCTTACTAAAACCAATGTTGCTATACCTCATGATTCGGGGCAAGCTTTTGCTTAGTCATGTAAGAGATCCCTTGCAACAATACACTGTTCTCAATGGATAAGAAGGACATGAAGGTACCAGTCCATTCCAGAGATGGTGGTCGCTATGCGAAAGCTTGCCACGAATCATGAGGTATAGCAACAGTGTCTTTAGACTGGGGAATTCAAATTGTTATGTTTATGTGCAGTCAGATAACTCATCAGTGCACCAGATTTTATTCAAATTTAACAAATGGCTTATTGGTAGGTCATTCTTAGGAATGAGTAAGTGGAAAGTCAGGCGTGGTTAAGTGATGGGTAAGTGGGGGAAAAAAATATTAAATTTGAGGCTTGAGCCAATGGACCCCGTAACAGGCAATAGTTTTGTTATACCATGGTAACAGATTTTACAAATGCAAGGGAACGCAGTGCGTCACAATGCTTTCACTTTACTTAAATGTCCATCCCCAACAAAGTTTGTAGGTGAACAATTTTTTTACTGAATAATCACTTGGGGTTAGGACATTTCCAAAGAATTTTTCCATGGTGTTGTTACACCATGGAAAAATTCTTTGGAAATGCATGTAACTTGGCAAAGCTTAATTACGTTCACTGACTTTTGTAGTGATGACCAAATTGAGGTATTTAACAACCTGAATCATGTAAGTACAAGTAACAATGAAATGTTGAGTACTGCTTGCTGAAAATTGACAAGCAGAGTCCTCCAGAGCGCACTGTGGTGCTGGCATGCAGGGCTGTATGGGATTGCCATCAACTCCGTACATGTAGTAGTTGCATGTGAAGCTACATATCTGAATTGATCACTGGGTAGAACTGCCTTGTAAGTAGCAATTAGGAAATTCTTGAGTGATTTTAACGGCTTCATCATATAGTGTCATATCTGCAAAAAATGAACAGTATAGGTTTCAGATGGATCAACTACAAAATTTGACAATTATAGCGCGCGCACCTGTATATGCATGTACATTCAGCAAATTGTACATGTACATACCGGCAGCCTGTTGACCCTACAACTGAACGGCAGATTGTCACCAGATCAAGTCAAAAGGGCATAGTGCAAAACAGCTGTATGATAACAGCTGACAAACACTGAACATCTCTGTATTGGTGAGAATCAATAAACTACATGTACCTTCTTCAAGTCAGATTCTTCCTGAACCACTGGCTTGTGAATGTGACCATTTTAGTGCACAATATTATGGCTTACAGCTACATATAGCTGTTTGTCGCATTCAAGCCTTGATCTAATTTTTATCAAAAAGGTAATTTTCAAATGTTGGCACCAACTGGCCAGCACACAAGGTCACCTGCATTAAAATTTATATGCACATGTATCAGATATTCATTTGAAATGGCCTTTGTTAATTGATACTTACCCAATCAATACTCAAACAAATACAGTAAATGCTCATATAAATTGAGCAAGCAGTAAAAGCCTCCCCCCCCCAAAAAGTGGATGAAATACCGGTATATATAAATACATGTGTATATTTCACCACACTTTCCTGGCTGCAGTTAATTATTTTAGGTCAGCTTTCTGCTATCATAGCCATGAGGCACATACATGTCAGCCATTCCGTTTAAGGGTCATCATCAAACTTAAAAATTGAAGTGAAAGAAATAAATTTTATCAGTTTTATGTGATAAGAGGAATATTGAAACCATCTAAAGCTCAAAAGAACATTTAAATCAAAGAATTTTTTATTTAGGTTACAGTCTCCTGAATATGGATGAAATTTGTGGTCAAAAAGGAGGGGCAGGGGTACAAATCACAAACTTAGAAAGTCACTGTGCTCTCATATGATTTTACTTTATCTGCATATATTAGGTAGCTATTCCAGTCTATTTGATAAACATCCAAAATTTTTCCAAATGCTTTTTGTATTTTCCCAGGTTCTCATCGTGAAAACACCCTCAAAATATGCCACGCCAGTGACATTACTTAGATTACTAAAAAACTAGACAGGGATTCAGCTAGTGTTTGATATTTGTAAATCAACTAGTAGGGGTCTATCAATAAAAGCATGAATATTCTTATTTGCTTTGCATTCCTTGTAGAAAAAACTCTTTCAAGAGTGTCACGCGAGTCATGCATGCGCTGTACATGTATGTCTCGTGAGTCACACGCCAGGAATTGAAATTGAGTGTGAAAGCACTGTGAAAACACGAAATTGAATCCAGTTAATGAAATTAAAGATTTTTACCCAAAAAATCATGCTGTATGTACATTCCTGTACAACTGCATCGTTAATTGCAGCTCTTTCCTTTGGAAACTCTGTCAATTACATGTACACGTACATGTAAGTATGATGATGAACACATGTACAATACATGTACATGTACCGGTATGTTAGTAAGATGGGCAAGCATATATTCAGACACCCCTCCCAGTTTACTCCCCTCATTTGCTACATGGAAAACTCCTAGAAAATTCTGGAACACAGCATTATTTTACCATGTGGAAGGTGGGCTGTGCTTCCAATATGTGATGAAATCTGCACTAAATCCAAATGTGAAAGCTTGAAACAATACCATATGCATACACGTACATGTATATGCTTTACTGTATACATGTACATTTACATGCCGGCAGTTCTCTCATAAAGTTTCATCCTACCAAGCAGATTCAGCATAATGTAAGTAGTAATTATTACAGTTACTATGAAGTTGATTGTTGAAAGTAAATTTTGAATGCCCTATAGATTCCACCCCAAGATTCGCCAAAGTAAAGGGATATACACTTTTCCATAATGTATTTGCAGGTAGATGTACATCATTTTTGTTAATGTAATATTATAATTTGATTTGTTTTACTCTTATTACAGTCATAATGTAAAAGTGAAAAAACTACTGCGTCACGCGAGTCACGCATTTGTGTCACACGAGTTACATTTTCTTCAGGCCATTTCTCACATTTTGTCTTTTAGTTGTTTGTGTAAAGAAGACTCAAGATCTTTGACATAAACCATGATCAAGTTACATGTATATCAAAAAGATGTGAACTGGGATATTTAACGAAAATGTGGATGTAAGCTTTGTTTAAAGAGACTACTCCATTATGATCGAGCTCTTCCTATATATATACCGGTATGAATAGAAATTTGTGCACAAGAGGTAGTCCATTCTGAGCCTGAAAAGGAGGGTAAAGTGAAAATTCATATGATGGAGCGTTCAGTTAACAAATACGACATTGTACTTCTTGAATTACCAACATTTAGGAAGCAAACTTCAATGAAATTTGGCCACAGGGAAGTATAAAAACCTTCCTAAGAATAATAGGTGAGGAATTTTAAACATTCCTGAAGTTCGAAAGTGGATGTTTGAGATCATTTTCATGCTGAAGATGACCTAAATACATGTGTAAGACTAAATTCAACTAGACAGAAGTCTTTACACGGTTCAAAATTTGTTTTTTAGGGGCCTAGGCCATTTTGGCCTTGGAGAGGTCAAAATTTCCATGGGCACCAAGGCCACTTAAACGGGCACGGAGGCAAAAATTGATCAGGGCCCAAAGGCAAATTTGTCAAAACACAATCTGTTCAGCCTCTAAAATGCATTCTTTTGGTTTATTGTAGAAAAAAGTTGGCAAAAACCTAGTCTTGGTTTCAAGACGTTAGTGCTTGATAGCAGACACCGTGCATAGTGCGCCCCCAACGACTCATAGTTCGACTATGCACCAGCTCACGTTAGTGAGAGTAAGTAAAAACTAGTTGTGCGAGGGCGCTCTTCAACAGAAATAAAACAACTATCGATCACTGACGTCTTGGGCCAAGACTAACAAAAATCTAACACCAAGAATTGTTATACTCTATGAACAGGGCATGAGTTGCACATAAATGATCGTCAAATTTTTCCTAACACTTGAAAATGTGTGACATCCCTTTTGTCTTTTAGACTTTAAAGTTACCAGCTAAATAATCCACACTGTATCCAAGAACCCTGCCATCCCCTTAGGCTTGCCACCCTGACATGAAAACGAGCAATAAGGGTTAACAAGTTCTGCTGTCCTTTTACTTTTTTTTACCCTTTACTTTTGTTTGTTGCCAGCAATGCGGGGGGGGGAGATATATTTGGACGCCTGCATTGCCGGCGTGGCCGCATCTTCACCCGGCACAGATTTCGGGAAATCACGGTGCCGTCAATCTCGGAGCTACACACGGTGACACCACCACTTACCCATGCATAAAAAAAAATCCAATTTCTTGCATTTTGTAGCCGAGTTACAGAGCTCCTTTTGAAAGGAATGTTTCAAACATTCTTTCCGAGGCATTGTTGCGTGTTGTACAAATTGACGGCGGGCCGGTACCCAAAGGAAATCTTCGATTCCACATGGCTGATCCGCGTCCCTTGAAGCACGTACTATATGTGACACGGATCAATGCGGAGTGCACTGGTGGTACATGTACATGTATATGCAACAATGCATTATGGGACACTCCGATTAGCTAGACGTATCCGTAAGGGTATGGGTTTGTGCTTGCGCACGTGCAGCGGATCAATGCGAAAGTGTGCAATAGCGGTATATGCAGCAATGAATTATGGGACACCGCGCTTAGCAATCCGTAAGGGGTGCGGGTCTGTGCTTGCTAGCACGCACGATGTTCATTGCTACATGTACATGAAGTTGAACAGTCAACACTACCCCCTCTGGACAGTCCATGTAGCGCACACGTGGCTTGGCCTCTAACGCAGGGGATGCGCATAACTATAGTAATAGCTCGCTGCTTAAGAAATTTTGTGAATACGCGTTTGCGTGAGTGAAGGCAATGTGGCCATATACCATGCGGGCTGTGCAAGCCTTGATCGCTTGTGGTATGGTCTCGCTGACCGGTGCAGCCGGCGAGCGCTAGCGCTGGGCTGAATTTATTGTTAGTAATTTTGACAACTCACTGGAAAGGGCACAACGGCCAAAGTGTGCATAAGGCACAGCAAAAGTGGCCATGGACAATGCAATTTTCTGAGGGGCATCAAGACAAGTAAAAGGGTATCGACGGCACTGGCTGTCGTGGCCGTCGTGAATTTCAAACCTTGCTTTGTAACAAGTACAAACACAGCTGTTTTGAGACTGTTTCACCAACAAAATAAGTACACATGTATTCACAATTATGATGAATAAACCTGGCATCAAGAAACTAAGATAATAAAAATGAACAATTTACTATTCTGGACGTCACATGTACCCTGAAAGAGTTACTTGGTAATTTACAATCAATTTCAACCGATGCAGTTGGATGTCCACTTCAGAAGATAATGTAACATGACTTGTCATGTGATGTCATTCCGACAGTTGAGAGTTTGCCTTGCACTTTGTGGAGTTTCCCAGAATCAGAGATGCCACTAGCCTATGCTAAAAAAATCTGAAAATCAACATATCCACAGCGCTTTGCACGGTGTCTGCGTGATGTACATGTACACAACTTGCATCTTCATCTTGTAGTCACCTATAAAACAAAAAAATTCTTTCTTGATCATCGCTGGTCGATCACAGAAATGAGTTGCAGCCAGTAGACCAGCCTGCTGTTTTTTTACTCAAAAAGATATGTACGTTTTTAATTTTGCTTGATCGAATTGGATCAACACTTGCCAAAGATTTATTTAACTAAGGCCTACTGCATACATCGTGCAGTCTTTTATTAGGCCAAAAAATACATGTAATGTTGTGCTGTGCATGCCTCTCAACAATTTGATCGGTAGGTCGGAACATTTTTTTTGTTTGGGGGCAATTTTGTGCTGATTAAAAGGCATCAGTAGGGAGGAAATCTTTCAAAAGTATCTCAAAAAGTGAAGAACACTTGTCTCAATCTATGTAAAAATATCTACATACGGCAATTCACAAGAAAAGTATGAACAATTCAGGCAATCACGACGGCAATTGGCAAA